TGAGTGGCAAACTGTTCTCCTGCAGATATTTCTTGATGGCAGGGTGCACCACCTCATTTACCCACTCGATAAAAAATTGCCTAGTCACCCATGCCTTAGCATTAGCCTTCCACATCATTTGCTTTATTTGAATTTTAATTGAATTCTATTTATAAGAATTGCTTTACTTTGCAATAATTTCCACTGTAGTTGTTAATACACCTAAATGAATGAATTCAGTAAGCAATAATATGCTATGTAAATAATCAACTAAATAAACGATTATTCTTAGTAAGGGAACGTAATTAACTAAACTCTGTTTAGATGCAACTAAATGTGGAGAGATTCATGTTTTAGCCTGTGGCTACCTCCCGGCGTCATTGAGACTGGGGGAAGAATTTGGCAAATATTGCGTCGCAATAGAAACATTAATTGAATTAGTTCTACATATTAGTAGTGTTAGTAATTACTATGGTTAATACAATCATGATGTATTGTAATACAAGAAATGATGTATTAGTGTTGGAAATTTCCAACACCAGGGACAATGGGTTTCGTCCTCCTGTCGGACCCACAGCACGGTGCGAGAGTTTGCAGCAGTGTAAACGTCGCTTTGGAGGGTTTGAGTCACTGGCGGATCGACTATCAGACTCCATTCGGACTGCTCCTTGGTGGTTCATTACCTGAACCGAGGGGGTTCGAAGGGGTCCTTGGCTCTTTGGGGCTGGTGGCTTCGGGTGACTCGTCTGCTGAGTTCTCGGGGTTTGGCTCTCCTGGCCGTTCACGTTCGGGGCGTGTCCAACCTCCTGGCGGATGGCTGTCTCGGTTCATTCCCCTGTACTTGGAATGGACGGTCGACACCAACTCATTCAGTTGGCTCTGCCGGACATACGGGCTCCCGGAGGTGGACCTCTTCACGTCGGCGTGGTCGAAGTGTCTCCCGGTATATGTGGCACCCTTACCCGACTGTGAGGCCATTGGGGTCGATGCTTTTCGGCAGGACTGGTTGAGGTATGGTTATCTGTACCTCTTTCCCCCGATTCCGCTGTTACTCCAGGTCCTAGCTTGCTTGAAGACTTACGAGTGAAGAGTAGTCTTCTTGGCTCCTTGGTGGCCAGGCCAGCCTTGGTTTCAGGCACTGCTTGCTCGGTGTCCGAACCCATGGATTTTCCCACGGCTCCACCTCTTTCACATGATCGGTCTGGTCTGTTGGGAAGAAAGCTTACTCTTTATTAATTGATTGATATTTAATTAATAGATTAATTTAAATTAATCGAAGGACCACCCTATTTTTACTGAAAAGGGAAACAGATAAAGTTAAATGATAAGGACTGAAATACCAGTGCCTATGGATAAGGAAACTATTAAAGGTTATTCTTTAAACTTCAATGGACTGTATGATATATGGAAAATAAAAACGGAAAATAAACTTTCCGTCGTTCACAAAATGGGGGGTTAATACCAGAAGTAATCTACTCCCAGTACGCTTCATCGAGGCTGGTTCTTCCTCGAATAAAATTAGTAATTCCTACTAAATTATATGTTAATAAACATTAGATAAATTGATTAATGGTAAGAAGATTATATGTTGATTAAACAAGAAATTATTCTCATTTGGCTTTAATGAGGCTATCAATTTACGTTAGATATCTCAAATCATATAAACTAAATATCCTTGACTGATAATCGATTATAGATTTCACTCAATGAAAGAAAATAATTAAAAGGGTTCATCTGCTTAGCTGTAATAGTGAACGGAGAGGTAGAGGTGCGGTGGCGTCGTCTGCTACTGGCTGCAACACGTGAGCTCGAGCCTGGCATGGGAACATGAGAGGACCACGACCGCTTTCAACACAAGCTGAAATTTCAACTAAATATACCAATTGGTTTACACCTACTATCTAGTATCTTCACTATGCCATAGAAGGAATAAAATTAATTCCTTATGGACGTACTTATTGTTTGGGGAGGTCGGGTGGCGTAACGATGGACAGTGCACAATAAAATTTATAAGGAGTACTCAATATAAACAATACTAGGGCACTTAACCTACTGGTTGTCCACCAAAGCAATCCTAGATTGCTACTGGAGCAATTGCACGCTCCTAGGCCGATTAACTGCAAGGGCCTAACGTAGAATTGATGGAAATTCGACTCTCCCGGGACGCACGATGTGATTGTTGGTGTCGCTAGCTCGTGTACTTAATGGTGAATGATTACGTCCTCATGGCGAAGTAGCCAATGGCGAATGGCGACTCTCCGCCTCTCTCCCTCAGCACGTCTCACGCATTCACAACAGAATTCAATAATCACGGATAATTCTTTTCCGTGTAATTACTGATGTAATGCGTTAATGAGAACAGGGTTGCAATTGTAGGGAATTAAATAATATCATATTCTCGTTAAATGGTGTTAATCGAGAAATGGAGAGAAATTTGATTTCCTCCATAGCATTCGTATGTAACAGATAAAACTGTTACTTGATGATAATCTCAGTTAATAACTCTCGGTTTTTGGATTATTAGGAGTTATATTATTCGTAGTTAATTATTGTACGGAATACTGATAAATTAGAGAACCACATTCAATTCTCGAACATATTGGTATTAAATATGTTTAGATAGACATTATCTGACGCAATTCTGCCTCTCGATGTCGTGAGAATGTTAGCAATATGCTCAGATAAAGAAATATTAATTTATGTTAGCACTACAGTTAGTAGAATTAATAATTACTGTACTTGGTATACAATAATGTAGTATTATAATACAATGGTAGTGTGTCAGTGTTGGAAATTTCCAACATGGTCCATTACGGAGCTGGTTCAATCTTCTCCTCGAGTCTTCGCGACTGGTATTTTTGACTTGGGTCGATCACCATCTGTATGGTGATCAGGTTGCTTCGTTAATGGTATCTCACCTGCTTGCTTCATCTCGGCTGCAGTATGAAGTTTTCTGGCTGTCCTTCCATTTCTTTTTCTCTCTTCGTTGGTATACTTCACGTTCTGTTAATGTGGTCTTGCCCTTTCTCACGTGGCTGTTTCAGGATCGTCATCTTATGCCAAATACTTTCGCCTCATATCGTGTGGCACTGGCAGAGCAGCTGCAGCTTGCTTTCGGCATCGATGTTACTTCTGTGCCGTTTCGCAAGCTGTCTTGGGCGTTGTTTCACCTACGGCCTGCTCAAGCGCCGCCTGAGCCGTCTTGGTCATTCAGATTGTCTCTCCAAGGCTCTCTTTTCCTGTTGGCATTGGCCTCCGGGGGGTCAGGTCGGGGAAGCTTCGTGCTCCCCTCTGGCATAGGGGGTTTCTGCTCTTTTGGCTCTGGTGATAGGTTTGTTTGCAGCCGTCTCCTTCTTTTCTGGTGAACAATGAGACAGCTCCTTTCCAGAGGTGACCTTGGGTTGTTGATACTTGGTTGGTCAGGCCGAGGGTTCGTCATGTGTTATGTCCGGTTGCAGCTATCCACCGTTATTTGCGCGCCACGGCTTTAGTGTCCGAGGACGCGCTTTGGGTTGATCCGGTTTCCCTTCTTCCCTGTTTCAGGGTTCGGGTCTCCCAGGTCGTCTGCAGGGTTACTCGGTCTAGCCAGCCTGCGGTCTATCCCCGTGCCCACGATGCTCGTAAGTTTGCTGCTCTTGCTGCTGTCTTCAGTAACATGTCTTTGGCTGACATTCGGGTGCGGGGCTTTTGGCGGTTGAACAGGGTCCTGGCTGCACGCTACCTGGTCAATGTTCCGGGAGCCTAGTCGGGCCTGTGTCACTTTGGGTCGGCGGTTGCAGCAAGTTATCTGATCTTCGCGTTGAGGGGTGAGTGCCGACCGCCTCCAAGGTAAGTCCCTCTTGTTTTCGTCTTTTGGTAAGTATCTCTGGGGAAGCCGAATGTGCTCCCCCCAGAAAACCAGTGTTGAATGTAATGAAACGCCATTTTCTGGGCGAGACCCGGAGGCTCTCCCGCATCCCTCCCTCCCTCACTCCGGTCGGCATTTTTGTCACGTGTTTTGACATTGGGTTATCTTATCTTGAGGTTATCTTGAGATGATTTTGGGGCTTTAGTGTCCCCGCGGCCCGGTCCTCGACCAGGCCTTCACCCCCAGGAAGCAGCCTGTGACAGCTGACTAACACCCAACACCCAGGTACCTATTTTACTGTTAGATAACAGGGGCATAGGGTGAAAGAAACTCTGCCCATTGTTTCTCGCCGGCGCCCGGGATTGAACCCGGGACCACAGGATCACAAGTCCAGCATGCTGTCCGCTCGGCCGACCGGCTCCCAAGGTTTGGGTGTGGGTTTGCAAGGGTTTTGACCCCTTGCACTGGCTACACACCTTCGAACTGAAGGTGTAATGGCCATTGCTCCTCATGCCTCTCTTGAGGGGGTCAGTTTCTGGCTCATGGTCCCTTGTAAGCCTAAGAACTCCTTAACGATTGACTGATGTCAAAGTCTAATAGTTCCATATCAGCCTGGATAAGCTCCGGGGAGCCTCCGGGTCTCATCCAGAAAATGGTGTTTCATTACATTCAATGCTGATTTTTTTTTTTACTTTTTTTTTTTTTTACTTTTTTTTTTACTTTAAATTCCTTAACCACGTCCAGGATTAACCACAACCTGTTAACCTAGCACTCCATCAAACGTTTTTGTTTTTATTCTGTATGGTAAATCAAAATTTTTAACTTCCTAACTCTTGCACAACCACACTGTATAGCAATCATTTACTGTACTGCTTTTTGTAATTCTTTTTTTTCACTTCCTGCCATCAACAGAGAATCATCCGGAAAAGTACTGGACAGCAGGGACCATGTCTTTCCACACAGCCCCACCTTACATAGGTTATCTATTAACAAATTGTAATAAACTTCTTTTAATTCACAAATCTCATTTAATCATTCACCAAGTCTACTCCTGCGCTACTTGTGTGGAAATATTTACCTTAAAGGAATTAATCAGATATTCATGTATCAAAATGTTCGTAAATTACAGTCGATTGTTAGTATGACGAGAATCCTCTTTTTAATGTATCAACAGGTGGGCTATTACATGAGCTAAGTAATGAAGGAGCTCGCCAGCAATTTGAAGTGTTCTTAGAGGAGCACATTCTGCCCCTAATGGTGTTTGCTGCACAACGTGGAGATCGTGAATGCCATATTGTCATACTATTAGATGATGACACTGTAGAGTGGGATGATGACTATCCTCCACAAATGGGAGAGGAATACAGCCAAAGTTAGTATTAATATTTTTTTCAGTCGGTTTCTTTTTAATCTTAAGTATAGTACGGCACTGAAATTTGGAGGCATTTTAATCTTTAAACCAATTTCTTTAATACACATCATTTTTCCCCAAGATAAATATAATAACTATAATTTACTGAATGAGATTAACTATTAGTTTTGTCCACTTAAAAAAGTATATCTTTACAGCCATTTGCTCAACGGCAATGTACCGTTTCTTCAAGTACATAGAAAACCGAGATGTTGCCAAACAAGTGCTGAAGGAGAGGGGCCTTAAGAAGATTCGTTTAGGTATTGAAGGATACCCAACATATAAGGAAAAGATAAAGAAACGGCCAGGTAATTGCATCTTAAGCTTAAAAACTATTACATTATCTAGTTCCTATTTAACCAGTAATTAGGTCTGATTGTTGAAAATTATACTGTTAATTAGGTCTGATTATTGAAAATTATACTGTACAGGAATCCATACAGTGTATTTATAAATTAGTTTTTGTATGTTTTGTTTTGTACATTATATCAGAACTAAATGATCCAAGAATATTGCCTCATGTATGTGATTGGCCTTCATGTGATGTACAGTATAATAATAATAATAATAATAATAATAAAAATACAGTGTAACAATAATACAGTAATAATAAAATCAGTAAAATCCATGATGAGGATTCAGACCAGCACATTGGGTACTTCCAAGTACACACCCTAACCAACATAGCCGAGTTGGTTAGGGCATGTACTCCTATCTCCCTTAACCACTTTCATTGCTTTACATTTATTTGGATTGAATTCTGGCAGCCATTTATTTATCTGCTTAAAGTTTGTCAATGTCTTCTTGCAGTATCCTTCAGTTGTCTTCAGTTCTTACTCTCCTCATTAACTTTATATCATCTGCAAGTATCAATATGTAGGAGCTCATCCTTCCCCCCCCCCCCACCCCACCCCTTTTGGGAGGTCATAAATTAGAAAGAACAAAGGTCCTATAGCAGAACTCTGTGGAACACCACTTTCCACTCTTCTCCAGGTTAACTTATCCTCTTTGACTATGACTCTTTGTTTCCTGTTTGCCAGGAAACTTTTTTTTTTTTTTTTAGGAACTGTATCAAAAGCTTTCTAGCAGTGTAGGAAGATAGTCTACCTATCCATCATTCTCTTGTTTTATTTTATCCAGTTATAGAATTCAACCTGTTTGTTAAACCTTGGCCAGCGGTTATCGTCATATGCTGATTCACAGGATAATGTGGTTATTGTCATGTGACGATTTAAACAATTATTGTCTGGGTTTTACATGTATGATGTAAATAAGGATATAATAGGTCTATGTGGATGAAGTGGAGTTTACCCTTGACAAAAATCCTGGTCATTAGTTGCTAGTTAATTGTTACTCATTAGTTACCAGGTGAATGAGATCATCATATGTGGGTGCACATTGGTGGCTTATGCCTTTGTTTCAATCTATAATCTTGCCCATGTGGTGGCAATTAGGCCATATGACATTGTCCATAGCCCAACACCATTGAATATTATGTTCATGTCCTTTTTACTCTGTAAACATTGGCCGCTGCGTTGAAGTAAAGCCAGCTGCCCCAGCTGCAGTACGCTCCACCCGGCCAATAACTTTCCCCTACCTGGGGCAAATCGGAAAGCTCTAGACACCCGACGTACCCCAAGGGCGAAGACAACATCAAGCGATGAGGTCCTTAAATGGGAAGTGATTCCCGAACGCCCCAGGGAAGATAACCCTGACTCGCAAGGGCAGTACTCACAGAGCACCTAGGGAAGGTCGCCCTAGACACATGCTGCTCTTGTACACTGAGACACCTGGCCATCACACACACACACACAGCTGGGAGAGCTACACAAGTAAAAAATCCAGAACAGGAACTTGAGGCCAGAGGTGGCTGATCTTACCACCAGCACATCAGTTCAAGAACTGGAGTTGTGGGCTGCCGGCTCCCTCTCAACTCCTGGAGGGGAAAGGTGTAGCACTAATGAACAGAAGTGCTTGTCGCATGAAGGGTTATTTGTTTGGTTTCTTCCTAGGGGAGTTATTTTGATATTTTTGGATGTAGATTACACAGGTTAACCAGACAGTGGTCTGTTTTGATTCGCCTAACTTTCTGGGTCCTTCCCAAGTCAATGGCAATTATGACATTCCTTAAATGTTAAGTGCTCATAGGCCATTGCTCCCTGTGCCTCTCTGAGGGGACTAGATTCTGGCTCGTGGTTCTTGGTAAGCATAAGAACCCCTGTGACTGATGCCCCCGAATTAATGTAGCACATATCAGCTCAGATAGCTTCAGGAAGCCAACGGGGCTCCTCACAGAAAAGTATAGACCAACAGCTCTAACAGCATACATCATAAAATTTTTGAAAGAGTGCTAAGAAGTAAGATAACAAAACACCTGGATTCACAGTGTCGACATAACCCTGGGTCACACGGGTTGAGCAGGGTGCGACTGCCTCTCACAGTTGGTAAACCACTAAAACATGGCTTTAGATGTCATGGAAGACAAACAAAATGCTGGTGTAATATACACAAATTTCTCAAAAGTTTTTGACAAATGTGACCATAGTGTTATTGCACACAAAATGCAAACAAAAGGAATTATTGGTAAATTAGGGAGATGGATATTTAATTTCCTAACAAACAGAACCCAGAGTGTTCAACAAAGTAAAATCCGAATCATCTACCATGAAAAGCTCAGTCCCCCAAGGTACTTGCTCCAATACTTTTCCTCATTCTCATATCAGACATAGACAAGGATATACTACTTAAGGATTTTTTCGAGTTATGACCACAATTTCGTCAGAAAATTTGACTCGACTTACGATCTTTGCCTCGACTAGCAACTTTGTTGATACACGCATGGGTCAACCGAGCGCATGGTTCCTGGTGAAACGGGCGACTATGCCTCAGTTTAACAGTGCCTCCTGCACAGTGACGATTGCACTTGAATTCTTTGTAAAGCATTTAGTTGTTTTTCAGCTTTCTTTGGTTTCTAAACATAAAAGTAATTATTATTATTATACCATGCCATGGGTCCCAAGAAAGTCAGTGGTAAGGTTCAACCTATGAAAACACATGTGAGGATGACCATAGAGGAAAACAAATCTCTATGGAAAGGTTCTTAGTGACACAAACGAGCAGTGAGCCCCAACCAGGTCCTAGTGATATGCAGACAAAACCTAGGAGAGACAGAGTACCCCAGAGAAGTCATCACTGCCTGATTTTATAATGGAAGGGGACTCCCCCTTCCAAACAGTAATACCTCTCCTCCTCCCCCCCTCCCCATCATCATGTTCCATACACCAACAAGAGTCCTCAATAAAGGTAAGATATACATACTGTATTGTAGCTAATACAAAAAAATGGTATTAGGTATAAATGTATTTTTAAGTTAATATTTTTGGGGGTGTGGAACAGATTAATTCAATTTATATTATTTCTTATGGGAAAATTTGTTTCGAGTTACGGATTTGCGAGTTACAACCCATCTCTGGGAACGAATTAAATTTGTAAGTGGAGGTACCACTGTACAAAGTTGCTGCAAAGTCACAACTGCAAGAATAATGACAGGTTGGATAACAAGAGCCTTCCAAACAAGAGATACCATGACAATGATGTCTTTTCTTTTAAGACATTAGTGCTCTCTAGAGTTGAATATTGTTGCACACCAACAGTCCCATTGAACCCTGGAGAAATTGCTGATCTGGAGAGGGTGCAAAGATCTTTAACTGCTAGAATCTATTCAATAAAACATCTAAATTATTGGGACCTCTTAAAAATTTTAAATCTGTATTGGGAGTGCAGACGGTGCAGAGAGACATAATTAACATTTGGAAAATATTAGGACTGGTTTCAAATCTGCACACACAAATAACACAACATGAGACCAGAAGTCATGGCAGGATGTGCAAAATAGCCCAATGGAAAAGCAGAGGTTCAATTTGCATGGCGAGAGAGAACTCTGTCAACAACAAATTTTTTTTTTTTTTTTTTTTTTTTGAGATATATACAAGAGTTGTTACATTCTTGTACAGCCACAAGTACGCGTAGCGTTTCGAGCAGGTCCCTGGAATACGATCCCCTGCCGCGAAGAATCGTTTTTTCATCCAAGTACACATTTTACTGTTGCGTTAAACAGAGGCTACAGTTAAGGAATTGCGCCCAGTAAATCCTCCCCGGCCAGGATACGAACCCATGACATAGCGCTCGCGGAACGCCAGGCGAGTGTCTTACCACTACACCACGGAGACTGTCTAAGACCAAGAAATGACCAAGACTTTTCTACACTCTTCTACACATTTGGGGCATAATTGACCGACCTCTTGCAATGTTCAAAAGAGAACCTGACTAATCAGGCTGTGATTTGTATGTCAAGCTGCGAGCAGTCGCATCGAACTGCCTGGTTGACCAGCCCAGCAACCATGAGGTCTGGTCAGATTTTGGGCTGCAGGGACGTTGATCCTTGAAACCATCAACAGGTAGTCAGCAGGTACTTGGATAGCATGCAAAGATCTTTTACTGCTAGAATCCATTCAATAAAACATCTAAATTATTGGGACTGCCTAAAGATTTGTAATCTGTATTCCCTAGAGCCCAAACAGGAGAGAGATATAATAATTTATACTTGGAAAATACTAGGACTGGTTTCAAATCAGCACACAGAAATAATTGTCCTTTTTTTCTTGCCAAGTACAATGGGGCCTCAACTTACGATGCTAATCCGTTCCCAGAGACGGATCGTAAGTCAAAATATCGTAAGTCGAAGCTATTTTTCCCATAAGAAATAAAGGGAATTGAATTAATCCATTCCCCACCCTCTAAAATATTAACATTCAAATACATTTTATACTGAATACAATGTTTTTTTCTAACTACAATACAGTACCTAAGTTTATCTTACTTTTATGGAGGGCTCTTGATGGCGTATGGAAGATGGTGATGAGGGGGGAGGAGGAGAGTTGTTACTGTTTGGAAGGGGAGTCCCCCTTCCATTATCACATCAGGCAGTGATGTTTTCTCTCGGGTATTCTCTCTCCTACGTTTTGCCTGAATACCACTAGGACCTGGTTGTGGTTCAGTGCTTGTTTGTCTCACTACAAATTTGTCAAGAGACATTTGTTTTTCCCTTCGTTTTAACATTTGTCTGTAATGATGCATCACAGTATCATTGAATAGGTTAAGGCAACGACCTACTGCAGCTTGATTTGGGTAAGTCGTTTCAGCAAAGGTTTGCAATTCTTTCCATGCTGCACACATTTTCTTAATTGTTGAGGAAGAGACATTCTGTACTGGCACATCCTCCCCTGAAGAAATTTCCTCAGCTGCCTCT